AGAAATTTTTATAATTACTGTAGAAATAAAATCAACAATAAAAAAGTGTATAAGATTGTGACGAATCACTAATCACGGATTTATGCCTCCGAACCTGTAATTAAACGATAGTCGATTGTAAGGATAGTTCATAGTCAAACGACTATATTTACTCAGAAAAATAAATAAAATCCAATAGAACTCGCTCGAGTCAGTTATAAAGACGCGTTTGCAAAAAATTCTTGAAGCTTTGTAATACACTAAAAACTGTTCTAGCTTAATAAATTATGGATTCAGTATATAAAAAGTTATGTATATTCTGAAATTACTTTCTGATACTATTTTTTATATAAGACATTTATTTATTACGTATAAATATCTTAATTCGGAATGGGTGCCCCAACTAAAGCTCTACTTCTTATAGCGTTGCTTACTTGTTTTTCATTCCAAATGCATGCACTAATTTGAGTCTTATTGATTTATGGCTCTTTCCATTTAAAGCAGCTAATTTCTTTGACCTCCATCCAAACTAGTTTGGTTGGTTTCACCTCATTCACCCCTCTTCTTCTCGCCTCTTATCAAGTACTTCATCACAACAGTTTCATTGCTCTTTTAATCTTTTTATATTTTATATTCAATAGTTCTTCTCAGATTGTGTAACATCAACTGATCCAAAAGATATTTATCCAAATGTATATGCTTTCCTCACCCTACAGAATCCCTCTTTTCTCCTCGTCTCAACCCATCAAGTATCCTATCCTAACTGTTAAATTCGTCTTATAATCCTTTTATATTTCATGTTTAACAGTTCTTCTCAAATTGTGATAACATCAACCGATCCCGTCGGTGTTCGCTTTATGGAGTTTTCACTTGATATCTGTTTGAGTGTGTGGGAGCTATATATATAAACTAAGTATGATTTTTATATAGTTTTATAGTTTCATTTAAAATAAATTTATTTTCTTACTATTCACCTAACTATGATTTTGTTAATACCATGATTTAATCATTTGTCCTAGTTTTATCTGAACTTAAGATAATTTGACTTGATTTGAATTAAATTAAGTTCTTCAATCTTGTAGTTTTTATCCTTTGGAAGTACAGCAATTGCCTTATCTATTTTTCTCGTAAAAAAATGGAGCAGTATTTCATCGCTTTAGGAATAATATACATAAAAAGCTTTGGAAAAAACTGTATAATTTAATATAATGAAAAAGATAAAAAAAAACAAGCTTATAAGAAAACATTACAAGCACTTTTTATTTAATATAATTTTGTTGCTTGTTTTCATATTACAAGCATTTTAAGTAAATCGACTAACAACTAACTGACAACTGACAACTGACGACTGACTACAGCAACAATGCCAATTTTGCCAGCAGAAGACACGCAGAAGAGAATGTATATAAGTGTATCTACAACAATGACAAAAAAGGCTTACAAGAAAATGAGATATAATTTTTCTTGTGGCTTTTATATTGAGTCCCTTGATGAGTCTCTAAAGAGAATACATCTTCCCTTTGTCAAAACAGAATATTCGCATAACACAATTTTATGCGAAAGTAATCCCAAGCATCATTTCAACATTTTGCTCCTTACTTACTCACACTTTAAGACGGTTGTGCTTTATTGCAGGGGCTTTAGAGTTGAGGCAGCATCATTTGGCACACTTGTTGTCATTGGAATAGTGTTAGATACTTCTTACAGTTAATGCTTATTGAATTGTTGTTGGTCTCAAGAGATAAGG